CATCTATAATTTCCTAAGATATGAGGAAAAAACAAAACAGTAAACTTTTTGAACATGTTAAAAAAGAGCACCATGTTCAAATACATTACTTAGAAATAGGTAAACTTTTTGAACATGTCAAAAAGTTTACTATGTCTAAGTAAGAATTTTGAACATGTTCAAAAAACTTACCTACAAACTAGGTAAACTTTTTGAACTTAGGCAAGAATGCATATGGCCACCACCACCACCATCATCGTCATCACCACCACCATCATCATCAACAATGACACCATTATCAATAATTTGTAAACATACTGAATTTTATATTAACAAAATCAGCAGCTAACCTGTCAACAGTTACATTTACATTGGCAAATAATAGATCATTTACATGATACTTACAGTGCCAATTTCAACAAGGGTTGGGATTCCCGTCAGCTTGTACTTTCCAGTTCTGAATTCATTATTGGGGTCTTTCCAACTGATAAGAAATATAAAAGGTTAAATATTAAACACAAATATGCCCTACAGTAACAAATGATTATGCCATTCAATAGGCATATTTGGAATATTTCTCTAAATACAAGCATGTAATACCCATTTCATTTGGGCATAATCATTTCCCATTTCATTCCTTTGAGAACATTAAAGATTCCTTGTTTGAGTTGTGTGCAAATTCATGAGATGGGAAAGATTTTTGTGCCTATACTGGTCTTTATTATTTGGCTTTAGGCTCATATCATAATGTAACAAATACATACGTTGGTCTGTCTCCAACTACTACCAGTATGAATACAGAATCAGATGGAGCTGAATTGAGACCTTTTTCCACCACTGGTTCAGCTTAAAAAAAGAAATAATTGTTTCAGATTATTAATAACATTGCTACACATATCATACTAGGTAATTATTGTAAATATTACATGCCAAGATATCCCCACTTCCATGAGAATACCTCAACCCAAACAAGCGTTTATGAATGACGATACAAAAGTGATCTAGAAAGTTTGCAATAATATGGAGAAGTTCTGGAGAACAATAATTGGAGAAAAAAATCCTAAAATTGAAGGAGAGACCTAAATCTCAATGGCCCCTCCCAATACAAACATAAATAATTTCCGATAATATCTCAAATATATACTTCAAGAAAAAATGAAGTCTTTTATGATGTATCATTAAAAAAACTAGTCTAAACTCAAAGATAGCTGTCTTTTAAAGAGTTCTTTTACTTAGAATGCCATGGCCATATATCTACAATGAATGGTTTATTTGCGAGTCAAATACTGTCATCATGTCTTATAAATATATCAAACACCTGACATCGCAGAAAGACGTCGAAATCCTAAAGACAGGGCTGCAGAAAATTACATTTTACATCAAGAATCAAAATTCTAATGTTAGTACATTGCATATAATCTTATAGCTGAGGGAATCAAAAGCGAATGTTCCAAGCACGAGATAGAAACGAGGGAGTTAAATCCCGGATATAAATCGCACGTTTGTTTAGATTTAGAATATTTACTGGGTGTAGCCCTCATCACTAAAAAAACAGGCTCGACAAAGAACGAAAAATCTATAAATTTTGATTCACAAAGGGGTAGAAATTAAGCTAAAACTGTGGTTGAGGTAATCACAATTCAAAATTCACAAAATCTAAGCAATTAAATACATTCTCATACATGTATTGACTGTATAAATGAGATCCTCCAAAATTCTAAAGTAAAGAAATTCAAGTCCTCACCATCTCGACAATCCGGGCACCAGCTATCGCCTGTCTCATCTATAGCACCGATAAACATCACAAATTTTCTCTTCTCGTCGGCATTTTCTTGGATCGTAGTCTCGAGGTTCTGTAATCCTTCTACTTGGAGCTGAGTTGGTTTTTGTTCAGCAGCCATATTTGTGGAAGTTCCTTCTCGAACTCCTCGTTCAGATGAAAGACTGGTAACACAGGAAGCCCAATTAATAACATGAAAAGTGAAAATAAAATCAGAAAAAAATGTACGTCTTTACTAATTTTTTTTTTCATTTGAGGCGAAGTAAGAGTCATTCATAACAAGAGTGAATGAAAAAATTAAACAATAATTTAGTGCTATATTTTTCAAAAAAATACAGCGGAAACACAGGAAGCCCAATAATACACTGGGCGCTTCCAATGGGGTGGGGAATCTGTCATCAATTTTTCAAAAGAGGAGCTTTGAAGTCATCAGAATCTTGAATCAATACGAAATATCCACAACGTTTGTTTTTTTAAAGAGTATTTTCCCCCAGTTCTCAGCTCTTTCTTAAAGTCCCTATGACGCTTATTTTTTGTCATTTTTTTAACAGTTGTATTAAAAGTAGAAGGTCTTGGGAGACTATTCGTTTATA